CACCCCCAGACCGCGCACCCTCAGACTCAGCACCCGCAGACTTAGCACCCCCAGGCTCCGCAAGTGCAGGCTCAGCACCCCCAGACGCAGCACCTGAGTCTACAACGACCTCAACAGGCACAGTACCAGGGAGTGGGTCTACCTGAGACACACCTGAGGGGAGAGGGGGTCTACCGGAGGGGGACCTGGAGCGAGGAAGAGCGGCGAGGGTGGGAAGGGGGTAGAGCGGTAGGGGAAGAGACGGTAAAAGGGAACCAACTCGTCAAAAGTGACGTTCTGAGAGGGGAGGACACGGCGCGAGGTGGGGTGGTAAAACTGACAGCCATTCGCATCAGGGGGAAAGCCAAGTTCGACGCAGGGAATAGCGCGGGCGGAGAGCTTGTCCGCGGACGTATTGCGGACAGAGGCACAGGAACCCCAGACCCGGAACACCGACGCATCGCCAACCTTCCCCGTCCAACGCAGTGTAGGCGAGGTCTCTGGCAAGGAGACACGGGGCCAGAGGTTGAGCTGATGCGCAGCGTACCGGACCGCAAACAGCCACAGAAAATGTGGGGAAGCCGCATGGATCATGGAGGTACGAGCGACCTCCATGACTAAGCCAATGCGTCTCTCTGCAATCCCATTTTTCTACGGTGAGGCCGGAAGCGTGAACGACTGGAGGATGCCCTCCCCACGACAAAAGTCCCGCAAGAGGTCGGAGGAGAACTCACCACCTCTGTCAGAGTGCAGACGCAGGACATGAAGGTCCTCGCGGAACCGCTCGCGTAGCTGGAGACGGAATGCACGGATCCAAGGGATCAAGACATCAGGGACCTCACCCTTGCTGCGCAAGGGGAAGACCGTGGTGTACCGCGTGTAGTCGTCAACAACCAGCAGAAAGTAGTGCTCGCGGTCCTGTCTACTGACGCGGGCTGCGCCCCACACATCCATGTGGAGAGTGTGCAGGGGAGCAGTCGTCGGGGGAAATGAGGAGGAGTGAGGAGCGGCGCGCTGCCGCCCCTCAACGCAAGGAAGGCAGGGCGGGGCAGGCGAGGGCGGCAGAGGAGGCAGAGACCTGGGAAGACCAGAAACAAGGAGGCGGGAGTGCATGCCACGAAGGCGTGGCAGGGAGGGGTGACAAATGCGGTGGTGCCACAGTAGAGTCTGGTGCGACAGGAGGCGACACGAGCAAGGGGGTGCTACCGGACCTGACGCGGACACCTGGGCAGACGCAGCTACCTGAGGAGGCTCGGTAGCCAGGGTGTACAGACTCGTCCCAGGCCGACGGGTGAACGTGGCCAGGTGACGGCCCGTCCGTGTACACGTTCAGATCGACACACGCTGAACCCCAGGAGTGGTGGTAGTGACAATCGCATCCTGGAGGGCAGCAGTACTCACCAAGTTCGTAGAGAACGAGGGGAGGTGAAGACCTGACAGTGAGCCGGACGGAACCGCCGGACATGGGAGAACAGTGGAGGAACAGGTAAGAACTGGGCCCTCTGAGGGGTCAGCCAGTCTAACCGATACAGGTGCAGAGAGAGGAGTGAGGGTGGTGCTGTCGCGAAAGGAACATTGGGAAGCACCTAAGTCAAGCGTAAAGGTGTGCAAGGCCTCAGTAGGTGCAGTTACAGGGAGAGCAGACTCACTAGCACCTAGAGCAGCAGCCTCTATACCTGGGTCAGGCGGCACACACAAGTAACAGTCACCCTCAGCACTAACAGACAAGGCATACATAGTAACAAGGATAGCATCATAGTCAAGATCATAGATAGCAACTCCAGACCTAAGCAGCTCTGCCCAGCGGGGGCGCTCGGCCTCGTCACCAAACTCTGCGCGCCAAGCGTCGTCTAGGCGGGAGAAGCAGCGGTGCTGAGTGTGTAACGGGTTTGTGCGCCCATAACCCCCCAGGCGAACGCGCCTTTAACCCCCCTAGGATCAATCGGGCATCCACAGTGCAGATCTACTGATACCCCCGCACACTGGGAGGCTCAAGACTGAGCACGGCGGCAACGGCCTACATGTGCATACACCGGGATTCGAACCCGAGACTGCTCTGATACCATGTCAGAATACTGAACGAGAATGAATGAACTAGCAAAGAGTTGAGTACAAGTACTAACCCTAATTGGATTGTACCCCTGATGGGCTACCCCACTACAGCCTACACAATGTAAGCTAGATATGAGTTTGACACACTTAACCTTGAGGTGGAGCAATTGGAAGTTTGCACCGCCTTCCTCTACGGGCTTCTCATGGAAGAAGTCTACATGCGGCAACCTCTGGGATACGATGATGGTAGCGGAAGGGTATGGAAGCTCAAGCGTACCCTCTACGGCTTGAAGTAAAGTCCACGCAGATGGTACAAGCGCATCGACGATTTTCTTCTTCAACCCTAAATTTGAGACTAAAGGAGAATTTGGCAGCACAAGAAGGATCGAGACTTAAGGAGAATTCGATTCGGTGAAATTCGAGTGTCGAATTTCACCCCTTCGAAATGTTACGTGAATATTCGAGAGTGTAGCGATGCGATGTTACGAACGCGGTTCGATGTTGATTGCATGCTATAAAACTAGTTGCTTTGTTTGCATGTTTTATATTGAAAACCCGAATCACTTGTATGGGATACACTCGACTACAAAATCCATAGAGCATCCTATCCTTCAACCTAGAGCATAGCTTTCACATTAGAGGCCATAACTCGCTCGATACTTAGGCGATCGGCGCAAATGATGGCTCGTTGGAAAGCTAAGACAGAGCTCTAGTTTCTGGTAGAACTTCAATTTCCTGTCAACCAGAGGAGAGTCCTCTAAAACAAGCACAATGGCTCAGCACAACGGCACAGCACAGCACGACGGCAGAACGGCAGAGCACAGCAACGCATCGGACTCAGAGCAGTGACTGTACAATGCTGCGACTGCTGTGCTGTCACAAATAAATGAGCGCAGTGCATCGCACTGCGATACTGTGCGATCCGCTGTGTCGTGCTGCCCGTACCGACAGTGCGCATGCGGCACAACTCTCAGAGAGACTCTGAGCCAATGGGTGGTCAAGTCCTCTCATCTCCGACTGTCACTACAGTGAGCAGGAGTATACTACTTGCTGTCAGCATGCCGCTCACCCGCGAGGAGCAGCAGCAACGGCAGGCAGATGCGGCACAAATAGACGGACACCGCCATTAGAAACGGAGGCAGTTACGCCCCCAAGCACGGAGCGTATTGGTAGGTCCGGGAATATTAGTAGGCTCGGAAGGAGAGGCGTACTAGGGTAGCAAGTGGTAGGCTGTATTGACGGGAGAGGCGAGTGACTCGGAGTCCACAAATCGTTAACAAGGAGGGTGGAGAAGGTAGAAAACGTAAGGATTATCTGCAAAGGGAAGTGTGAGGTCAGTCATCTCTTATGACTCGGTTGTTGGGAGTTTGGACGAGGCGGCTGCTGTTGGGAGTTTCGGTGCGGCTGTTGTCGGGAGTTCGGCGCGGCTGTTCGCCCAGGAATTGTGGTAAGAAGGGTGGGATCTGGAATGGACTATAGCGTGGCGATAGTGCCGGGGGCAACTGTACAGTGGACTGTGAAAGAGGGGCAATTTTGCTTTGGATGGACGGTAGTAGGGTGCCCCATAACTAGATTGGCAGCTGGTTCGGTATTACGCGTGCCGCACTTGAAAATGCATTTCTGACTCCAACCTGAATTCCTGAGAGCATGTGCGAAGAGACTGTCGACATTCCTCGACAAAGCATTGAGGGATGTCGATAAATCTCGACGGTCGGTGCACGCAATCGTAGGGTTGACATTTGCCGACATCCCCCGATATTTTGTCGAGGGACTTCGACATTCACTTCGGACACGCTCTGAAAGTGGCGAGAATACTATTGGAAAGGTGTGATGCAGGTACAGTAGTATCGCAAGTGGTAGGCGGTATGCATTTTGATCACAGATGGGAGAGGCGAGGAGGGCGGAGAAGGCAATCGTGTGAACCATCTGAAAGGGGAAGATGTTTGTTATTATGGATTAATTTTGATACAAAGTCGTGATAATTAAGATAAGGGGTATTAGAGGAAGGTAGAAATGGTGGAACAAAGAAAGGGTGATAAGGAGAGAAGAGCTGGAGAAGAAGAGAAAGGTCGAAGGAAAGGTGGAAAGAGGAAAAGAAGAGAGGAAAAAACTAAAGGAAGGAAACACCTAAGGACCAAAACACCACAGCAACCCGCACCACAGCGCGGGACACAGCCTTTCAAGCACAATCGCTAAACGCCTACACATATGCATTGTACATATACTGCATGTCTGCCACGCTCTCAAAGCAGCCGGTAATGTGATGCCAACTGCCCTGCCCTACACCCAAAGGGACTGGTGTGGGCATCCACCCATCGTCTGACCCTCCCAACTGCCGCACCGCATGCTGTATCATACTCTAAGCCTGCGCTCGCTGCAGTGCCACGGAAAGTCGTGTAGTGAGTCTGGTCTCAAAAATCCGTGCTGACCCATCATCCCCCCCCCCCCCCCAAGTCTTTACGCCGCTGTACAATCCGCCGCACACAAATCCCTAGAAACTGCCTCATTGGCTCGCTAAGCAACCCAAACGTCTCCACTACACATGCATACAAATGTGGCGGCGGTTGTAATCCCTCTAGATGCGGTGCCCAATCCCGCAACTTGTCCTGTACTCGTCTGGCTGCTGCAACACCTATCTGCACTGGGGCCACTCGTCTGAGCCCGGTATTCCCCTGTTGCTGTGGATCTGCAATGGAGACGTCTACCAACACCATCAAGGTTTTTTCTATATCGCGGCAAGTCAGGTCTGGAATGCGGGCTGGTGTCCCTATGCGGCCTGTGCCTCCAGCCTGCCTTTGCTGCTGTACTGGCTGCTGCTATGCCTGGTCCCTCTGTGCCTCCTCCCTTGTCGTCTCTGCCCCTATATCCTCTCCCCCACCCACCTGCCTCCTCCCATCCCCTCTCCCCAACCCCAAACCCCCCAGCACCCTCGCCCTTCCCCCCCCCCCCTCCATACCCTCCCCTCCTAGCCCCTGCGCTCCCACTGTCGTGTCCCCCGCCACCTCCTCTCTCCTTCTATCCCCGAACCAGCCCGCACCCAAGGGCTGGGTCGCCCCCTGGACCCGGAGCCCCACCTGCCCTTGCTGGCCATCCCACTGCTCCCCCTGCTGTCCCCTCTCCTCTACCCCACTCACCGGCCTCTCCTGCCCCTGCTGAACCTCCTGTTGCTGGCTGTGCTGTCCTCTCTCCTCTCCCCCACCAACCTGCCCCTCTTGCCTTTGCTGGCCATGCTGTTGCTGTTGCTGCTGCTCCTGCCGCTGCTGTCCCCTCTCCTCTCCCCTAGTAGCCTGGCCCCACTGAACCTTCTGCTGTCGCCCCTATTGACCCTCCTGCTGCTGCCCCTGCTGACCCTCTTGCTGCTGCTCTTGCTGTCCTCTCTCCTCTCCCCTAATGGCCTGCCCCTCCTGCCCGTGCTGGCCCTCGTGCTGTCGTCGCTGCTGTTGCTGTCTCCTCTCCTCCTCCCAGCCAGCCTGCCCCTGCTGACCCTCACGCCGCTGCCCATGCTGACCCTCCTCCTGCCGCCCCTGTTGGCCTTGCTGACCTTCCTGGTGCTGCCGCTGTTGCCCTCTCTCCTCTCCCCTACAGACATGCTGCTGCTGCCCCTGCTGGCCCTGCTGCTGCTGCTGCTGCTGCTGCTGCTGTTGTTGCTGCTGCTGCTGCTGCTACCGCTGCCGCCGCCGCCGCTGCTGCTGCTGCTGCTGCTGCTGCTGCTGCTGCTGCTACTGTCAGAACATTATAGCTTATACATTTGTGTAGGCTGTAGTGGGGTAGCCCATAAGGGGTACAACCCAATTAGGGTTAGTACTTGTACCCAACTGTTTGCTAGTTCATTCATTCTCGTTCGTTACTTTCACATGGAATCAGAGCAGGTTACTTGGGCCCACCACCTGCTACGCTGCGATTAACCCCCTAGGCCCGTCGCTCCTAGCCTTCGCGGTCCGTCGGCCCCTAGCCTCGCGATCGGCCCGTACCTAGCCCGCGATCGGCCCGTTCCTAGCCCCGCGCGCGGCTCGTCTCTCGCCCGCACCCGGCCCGTACCTAGCCCGCGACCGGCCCGTACACAGCCCGCGACCGGCCCGTACCTAGCCCGCGCCCGGCCCCGTCTCACGCCCGCGCCCGGCCCGTACCTGGCCCGCGACCCGCCCGTACCTAGCCCGCGACTGGCCCGTACCTAGCCTGCGCCCGGCCCATACCTAGCCCGCGCCCGGCACCGTCTCACGCCCGCGCCCGGCCCGTACCTAGCCCGCGACCCGCCCGTACCTAGCCCTCGCCCGGCCCGTACCTAGCCTGCGCCCGGCCCCGTCTCACGCCCGCGACCGGCCCGTACCTAGCCCGCGCCCGGCCCCGTCTCACGCCCACGCCCGGCCCGTACCTAGCCCGCGACCGGCCGGTACCTAGCCCGCGACCGGCCAGTACTTAGCCTGCGCCCGGCCTGTACCTAGCCCGCGCCTGGCATCGTCTCACGCCCGCGCCCGGCCCCGTACCTAGCCTGTGCCCGGCCCGTCCCTCGCCCAGCGCTCGGCCCCGTCCCTCGCCCAGCGCCCGGCCCCGTACCTAGCCCGCGACCCGCCCGTACCTTGCCCGTGCCCGGCCCCGTCTCTCGCCCGCGCCCGGCCCGTACCTAGTTTGCGACCGGCCCGTACCTAGCCCTCGCCCGGCCCGTACCTAGCCCGCGTCCGGCCCCGTCTCACGCCCGCGACCGGCCCGTACCTAGCCCGCGCCCGGCCCCGTCTCACGCCCACGCCCGGCCCGTACCTAGCCTGCGACCGGCCCGTACCTAGCCTGCGACCGGCCCGTACTTAGCCTGCGCCCGGCCCGTACCTAGCCCGCGCCCGGCATCGTCTCACGCCCACGCCCGGCCCCGTACCTAGCCTGCGCCCAGCCCGGCCCTCGCCCAGCGCTCGGCCCCGTCCCTCGCCCAGCGCCCGGCCCCGTACCTAGCCCGCGACCCGCCCGTACCTTGCCCGCGCCCGGCCCCGTCTCTCGCCCGCGCCCGGCCCGTACCTAGTTTGCGACCAGCCCGTACCTAGCCCTCGCCCGGCCCGTACCTAGCCCGCGCCCGGCCCCGTCTCACGCCCGCGACCGGCCCGTACCTAGCCCGCGCCCGGCCCCGTCTCACGCCCACGCCCGGCCCGTACCTAGCCTGCGACCGGCCCGTACCTAGCCTGCGACCGGCCCGTACTTAGCCTGCGCCCGGCCCGTACCTAGCCCGCGCCCGGCATCGTCTCACGCCCACGCCCGGCCCCGTACCTAGCCTGCGCCCGGCCCGTCCCTCGCCCAGCGCTCGGCCCCGTCCCTCGCCAAGCGCCCGGCCCCGTACCTAGCCCGTGCCCGGCCCGGTCCCTAGCCCCGCCCGGCCCCGTACCTAGCCCAGCGCCCGGCCCCGACCCTAGCCCGCGCCCGGCCCCGCCCCTCGCCCAGAGCACGGCCCAGTACCTAGCCCAGCGCCCGGCCCCGTACCTAGCCACGCCCGGCCCCGTACCTAGCCCAACGCCCGGCCCTGTACCTAGCCTACGCTCGGCCCCGTACCTGTCCTGCTACTGCTACAGCTACTGCTACGGCCCGGTACTGTCACTGCTGCCACTGCTACAGCTGCTACTGCTACTCCTACTGCTATCCTGCCGACTGCACAGCTATGGCTTCGCTTCGGGTTCTTGCGTTTGATCATGAGGGCAGACCAGTTCAGTTTGACACGTGGCTAGACGACCTGCAGCTGTACCTACTGAGCGATTCTAAGGACAGTGTCTCATTGTTTGACCTAGCGCCAGGCGCCGCTACTGCCCCTCCCGCTACAGCTGACAGTTCGACTCACTCACAGTGGCTTACTCGTGACGCTGCTGCCCGCTTAGCCATTCGCAACCACCTGCCATTAGCTGAATGCGCTCACTTCGGACAGCACAGGACAGCGCAGGCACTGTACGACGCTGTAGTCGCTCGCTACTCCTCCCCTGCCACTGCTGCTCTAGGCCGCCTTCTTCTGCCCTACCTGTTCCCCGAGCTGTACGCCTTTACCACAGTTGAGGACCTAGTTTCCCACCTTCGCACTAGTGACGCTCGCTACTGTGTTGCCGTTACTGCTGAGTTCCTTGACAGGAACCCCCCCCCGATGTACATCACTCTCTACTTTATAGTCACACGCTTCCCTGACTCTCTTCGCTCTGTTAGGGACCACTTCCTCTCTCTTGACCCCACCTCCCTCACTGTTGACCTCCTAGAGCAGCATCTCCTCGCAGCTGAGACTAGTGCAGTTGCTGTAGGTGCTGCTCGTGGCACTCCGCGTCAGCCCTTCTTTGAGGGGTGTTCCCCTTCCCCCCTTGCCCCCTCCTCCGCCTCTGCTGCTGCTGCCGACGTCTCTGTTGCTCAGGACGTCGGGGCTGCTTCTGCTAGTGCGAAGCGCTGCAGCAGCAAGGGCAAGGGTGGCCGGGGTGGTGCAGGTGGCAGCAGCGGTGGTGGAGGTGGCAACGGGAGTGGTGTTGGGGGCAGAAGTGGAGGTGGTGGCGGCGGTGCGACTGTTGGCGGGAGTGGGGGCTCTGGTGGCGGTGGTGGAGGCAGCGGTGGGAGTGGCGTCAGTGGAGGCGGTGGGAATAGCGCTCGGTGTGTCGGTTCTGGGGGTGGCCAGCGTCAGCAGCAGCAGCGTTGGAGCGAGACCCCGTCTTCCCAGCACCTTCGTGAGTGGTTTCTGCGTGGGGCGACTGGGGGTAGTTGCCCGTATGTCATTCGCACGGGTGACCGTGCTGGTCAGACGTGCAGGCAGCCCCACACTCAGCACCGCTGCTTCTCCCGCCTCGACGACGCTTGGCGTGCTGAGTTTGGTGATGACGTCGAGCTCTCTCGTTGGGCAGATCTGCTTAAGTCTAGGATTGCTATTTTTGACCTAGACTTTGATGCTCTTCTTTCTGCTATGTATGCTTTGTCTGTTAGTGCTGAGGGTGACTGTTACCGGTGTGTGTCACCTGACCCAGGTATAGCTGCTGCTGCTCTAGGTGCTAGTGAGTCTGGTACTCTCCCTGGTACTGCACCTGCTGAGGCCTTGCACACTTTCACGTTGGACTCCGGCGCCTCGCGCTGTTTCTTTCGTGACAGCACCACCCTCACTCCTCTTCCTGCACCTGTCCCGGTCCGATTGGCTGACCCCTCCAAGGGACCGGTCGTGGCCCGTTCCTCCACTGTCCTCCCGTGTCCGGCGGTTCCGTCTGACTCACTATCAGGTCTTCACCTCCCCTCGTTCTCCACGAACTTGGTGAGTACCGCTGCCCTCCTGGATGCGATGGTCACTACCACCACTCCTGGGGGTCAGCGTGTGTCGATCTGCACGTGCACACGGATGGGGCGTCACCTGGCTACGTTCACTCGTCGGCCAGGGTCGAGTCTGTACACACTCACTACCGAGCCTTCTCAGGTCGCTGCGTCTGCTCAGGTGTCCGCGTCAGGTCTGGTAGCCGCCTCTTGCTCGTGTCGCCTCCTGTCGCACCAGACTCTTCTGTGACACCACAGTCTGGGTAACCCCTCCCTGCCTCGCCTTAGTGGCATGCACTCTCGTATTCTTGTCTCTGGCCTCCCCAGGTCCCTGCCTCCCCTGCCGCCCTCGCCTGCCCCGCCCTGCCTCCCTTGCGTCGAGGGGCGGCAGCGCGCCGCTCCTCATTCCTCCTCGTTTCCCCCGATGATTGCTCCCCTGCAGTCATGGACGTGTGGGGCCCAACCCGCGTCAGTGGACAGAGCCACGAGTGCTACTTTCTGCTGGTAGTTGACGACTACACGCGGTTGAACATTATAGCTTATACATTTGTGTAGGCTGTAGTGGGGTAGCCCATAAGGGGTACAACCCAATTAGGGTTAGTACTTGTACCCAACTGTTAGCTAGTTCATTCATTCTCATTCGTTACTTTCACTGCTGCTGCTGCTGCTGCTGCTGCTGCTGCTGCTGCTGCTGCTGCTGCTGCTGCTGCTGCTGCTGCTGCTGCTGTCCACTCTCCTCTCCCCCATTAGCCATCCGCTTCTGCCCCTGCTGGCCCCGCTGCTGCTGTCCATGCTTTCCCCTCTCCTCACCCCTATGGGTCTGCCCCTTTTGCCCCTGCTGGCCTAGCTGCTGCTGTTGCTGCGGCTGCCGCTGCTGCTGCTGTTGCTGCTGCTGCTGCTGTCCCCCCTCCTCTCCCCCACTAGCCAGCCCATCCTGCCCCTCTCGGCCCTCCTGCCCTCCAGCCCCTCAACCGAGCCCACCCTGCTGCTGCTGCTGTCCCCACGGTGCCCCTGTCTGTCCCGGTACCCCGTCCCCCCGTCCCCGAGAGTCCCTGCAGTCGCGCTCTAGCTGCCTCCCGGTGCAGAATCAAAGTGGTGTCCTCCACCTTCACCGCGAAGCCTGCCTCGGAAGCAAAGTCCCGAAGCATGTATTTCACGGTGTTGTGGATGGCCGTGGCGACGCCGAGCAGGAGCACCGCACCACGTGGTGAGGTACCGCCATGTCATCGATTGCCTGCCCACAAGAACACCGACCTGCGAGGGCTAGTTGGGGGATAGGGAGTCGGAGACGGAAAGCTGAGGCCACCTGCCACTGCACCTCTGGGATGCACAGCGAGTCTGCGTACGGCACCGCCGTCAACCACGCGCCTGCACTTGCAAGAGAGTTAGAATGTGATCTGGTACAGCGAGCAAAATAGAAAATGGCCATCAAGCCAACCTCCTAGTCACTGGTAGATGGGGATGGGAATGATGTGACAAGCGAAGAGATGGTCTGGTCGGTTATAAAAGAGATTTGTCCAGTACGGCCGCGGCTGTTGGGAGTGAGAAGAACAGTGAGACTGGGACGCAGATTGTGGCGTGGTGGTGATAAAAATAGGGGCAACTCTGCTTCGGTGTGCCCCAAAATTAGGCTCGGGAGCTGGTTAGGTAGGTTGTTTTCGTTCGTCCATGGTCGGGGATGTTCCTGACAACACTGTTTTTCAGAGTTGGCGCGAAAGTGTGAGCGGCGATTGCAGGCAAAAACAACCAGCACGAAATCACTAACGACTGACGGCTGGGATTCGAAAGGGATGTTGAAACACCAGCACTCCTCATTTTGCGCAGTTTCAAATTTGATACATTAAGGTTGTGCTACAAAAACAAATTTGCAAGCATTGACATACCGTCAGACCCCGGATAGAAGCGCCCCTGGGGTGGGCTTATAATTGAGGGTTTTTATAAGCGCCGGGGCTTATATATGTCAGAGGTCCACCGGTGATCCCCGATTGATCCTAGGGAAGGGTTACAGGCATGTTGGCCCGGGGGGTTATGGGCGCACTGACCCGCTACTTAAAAAGCCATTTGATCCCAGTGGTCTAGTGTCTAGGATTCTGACAATATAATGACATATATGAAATCTAGTTTTATTTACACCAAAGTGTTCATCCCGTCCTTGCGATTTGAATCGAATCGATATTGTAGAGGGCAATTGTCAGAATACTGAACGAGAATGGTTGGATTGAACGGAAAGTGGGGTACAAGTACTAACCCTAATTGGGTTGGACCCCTTATGGGCTACCCCACTATAGCCTACACAAATGTAAGCACTGTAAGATTCTGACACACCCCCATAGGCAAAGTGGGGGAGAACAACTGGTCACAAGACCAGTCAAGTAAAGCAAAGCAAGCTCAGGGTGGATCACGAAGTCACCACACATTCCGAGCACAAGCAAAGGGCCACAAGGCCAAGTCATATGCAGAATTATATAAAAGATAACAAGCAGTACATTGATCATACCCTAGCAAGTGTAAGCATGTAGGTATATATATATATCACAGTACAAGCAAAATCACGAAGTGGGCAAGTGAGGCAAAGTAGGCACAAGGCCAAACATAGTACAGAAACGCTGACGATCACCAGACTGAATTGCCATGGTGAATATATCAGCAGTGTTGGCCCGAGTGGACACATAAGCAAGATGCGCAGCTGCTGCTGGCGCTGGCTGCCACCAAAGCCTCCACGCTGCGCGGCTGCACCCCGACCAGCACCACCTCCTCCGCTACCTCCACCACCGCTGCCGCTGCCTCCACCTCCTCCGCCACCGCCGCCACGACCTCCACCGCCGCCACTGACGCCCCCACTCCCGGTACCGCCCCCACCACCACCTCCACCTCCTCCGCCGCCTCCACCTCCTCCACTGCTGCCCCCGCCGCCCCCTCCACCACCCTTGCTCCCCTTGCCCTTGCTGGTGCGGCGTCTCCCACTAGAGGCAGACGCAGTGCCGACCTCCTCAGTGCCAACGAGGTCGACAGCGGCAGCAGAAGCAACAGAGGGGAGAAGAGGGACAGGGGAACACCCCTCAACGAAGGGGGTGCGACGGTCGCCGCGAGAAGCACCTACAGCTAAGATACTCTTCTCAGCTGCAGCAAGGCGCTCCTCTAGCAGGTCGACAGTCAACTCGGTGGGGCAAAGGGAGAGAAAGTGGTCCCTGACTGAAGAGAGAGAGTCAGGGAGGCGGGTGACTAGGTAGTAAAGGGTGATGTACATGGGGGGGGGGTTCTTGGCACAGAACTCAGTGGGAAGGGCAGCGCGGTAGCGGGCGTCACTAGTGCGAAGGTGAGCAACTAGGTCAGCGACAGTAGCAAAGGCAGCAAGGTTAGGGAAAAGGTACGGTAGCATGAGGCGGCTGAGGGCAGCAGTGGCAGGGGAGGAGTAGCGTGCAACTACAGCGTCGTACAAAGACTGAGCAGTCTTGTACTGGCCAAAGTGCGCGCGCTCAGCAGGCGGTAGGTGACTATGAACAGCAAGACGAGCAACACCGTCACGAGTGGTCCACTGCGAGCGAACAGTACTGTCAGCAGTGGCAGCAGGAGCAGTGGAAACACCGGACGTGTGATCGAAGAGGGACACACCATCCCTAGAATCACACTGAAGGAAGAGCTGTAGGTCGTCAACCCACACGTCAAAATCAACTGCACGACCCTCAGCATCAAAGGTGAGAGCGGTAGGACTAGCCATAGCAGCAGTAGGAGCAGTAGCAGCAGTAGAAGCAATAGCAGCAGGGCAGTGCAAGGCAGTGCTGCTCAGTAGGGCAGTGCGGTTTGGTGGGGGCGGCGCGGCTCTGCTGAGCGGCGCGGCTCGGCTGGGCGGCGCGGCTCGGCTAGGCGACGCGGCTCGGCTGGGCGGCGCGGCTCGGCGGGGCGACGCGGCTCGGCTGGGCGGCGCGGCTCGGCGGGGCGGCTCGGGTGCTTACCGGGAGCGGGTGCTTGGCCGGGCCTTGACAGCAGGGGCCGCAGTAGCAGGTGTCGCGCTAGCAGGGTAGGGGCCGCGACTGCAGGTGCCACTTCAGCAGGGGCTGCGGCAGCAGGCAGGGGCGACGCGGCGAGCAGGGGCAACGCCGCAAGCAGGGGCGACACCGTGGGCAGGGGCGACGCCGCGGGCTGGGGCGACGCCGTGGGCAGGGGCAACGCCGCGGGTAGGGGCGACGTCGCTAGCAGGGGCGACGCCGCGGGCAGGGGCGACGTCGCTAGCAGGGGCGACGCCGCGGAGGGGCCGAAAAGGGGGCCACTGAGGGGCCGCGAGGGGCCGCGACGTCGCTAGTAGGGGCCACTGAGGGGCCGCGAGGGGGGGCCGAAAAGGGGGCCGCGAAGGGGCCGTTAAGGGGCTGCGAAGGGGGCCGATAAGGGGCCGCGAAGGGGCCGTTAAGGGGCCGCGAAGGGGCCGATAAGGGGCCGCGAAGGGGTCTTAGGGGGCCGCGAAGGGGCCGTTAGGGGGCCGCGAAAGGGCCATGAAGGGGCCGATAAGGGGCCGATAGGGGGGCCGCGAAGGGGCCGCTAAGGGGCCGTGAAGGGGCCGCGAAGGGGGGGCCACTAGGGGGGCCGCTAAGGGGCCGTTAGGGGGCCGCGAAGGGGCCGCTAAGGGGCCGCGAAGGGGCCGCTAAGGGGCCGCGTAGGGGTAGGTCAGGGCAGTGCGCGAAGCGCGCTTCGGGCAGGTAGAAAAAATATTTTAAACGTGGTGGGCCCTTAGGAAGAAACAGTCCCACTAGGGAACCTGCTCTGATACCATGTGAGAATTAACGAGAATGAATGATGAAACTAGAAACGAGATGGGTACAAGTAGGAAACACAAAGTGTTGTACCCTCTAAGAACCACCCCTCGACTCGCTCTCGTTGTCACCGTTCTTCATACTTGCAGCACCACCTCCGCGACCGCCACGGCCTCCACGGCCTCTTCCTCTCCCTCCTCCTGCTCCTCTACCTTCTTGGCCTTGAGCAGGAGTCCATCCATCAGGGAGCTTGTAGCAATCGCGCCACATATGTCCGTTCTTGTGACAATAGTGGCTCTCGCCGTCGAATCGGCCGCGACCGCGTCCGTAGCTCTTGTTGTCGCTGCCGTATCCGCCACTCCTGCGGCCTCCATTGAAGTTGTTGCTGCCAAATCTGCCTCCCCCTCGTCCTCTGCCCCTTCCACGGCCATACCCTCGGCCGATGCTTACTGCCCCGGCGCCATCCGCACTCGCCAACTCACGGCGGCGGAAGTCCTCTTGAAGGATCGCTTGCTTCACGTCTTCAAGCGAGAGGTGGGGCAAGTCACGATTGAGGTTGATGATGAGCGAGGACCATGACTCTGGGAGTAAGGCCAGCAACTTGGTCTTCTTTTGGAGCTCACTATAGTTCAAATCAGCTCCCTCAAGCCGCGTCAACAAGTCGAAGAATTTATGCACCCCTTCTTCAACCGCTTCGTCTTCTTCAATTCGTAGTGCCGCCATTTGCCGTTCCAACACCACCGCTACCGCCGCTGTTGCAGGAGCGTGTACACCCTTGAGAGCAGCCCATGCCTTTGGTCCCTTCTCTCGTTCATGCTGGAATGGCTTGATGTGACGGATCTGGCTGCTCCCCAACGCTTGCCCAAGTAGGAGATAGCCTTGTGCGCTCTTCCGCACCCACGGGCTCTTCTCCAGGTCGTTCTCGGGGCACTTCTCCGTTCCTTCCATCACCTCCAGCAGGTCATAGTGGTCAAATAAATTCTCCATTATGAAGGACCATTCAACGAAGTTGTCGCCATTGAACTTGTCAAGCCCAAACACCCTAGGCTCATCCTCTAGGTGGGCCAAGACTTGGTTGCACGGGCGCCATGGCTAAATCACAGGGTTGGCCTTGAGCTTGGGCTTCTCTACTGCCACCAACAACTCTGCCACCCCTTTCCTCAGGTCTAGCCATTGTTGAAAATGCTCCAAGCAGCTCTGATACCACTTGTTATAGTAACTATAGGCTTGAATGTGCCTAAAACGAAAGATGGAGTGCACAAACGGATTTCTGCACAGCGGCTTCAAATGTTGATAGCGTTCTGGTCACAGCTGCAAATGACGTGATTCAACTTGGATCTGGAGCGTCTTAACGTCGCCTACAATAAGCAATTTAGATTGCACAATTTCATAAAGAAATGACGACACATCGTTGGTTTGAACGAACGGTACTATGGCAGCCACTATAGTCTTAGAACACAAATTAGGAAGAGTTACGAGTTGGGAATGACTCCCAGCTCCTACAAACCCCAAGAGCCGAGGTACAGTGATGTGGAACAGTGCCAAACTGTCCTCAACCACAAAGGGTGTCGAAACTACCCTCCACAAGGGCCTACACCAAGACAAATGTTACACTACACAAAGGAATGCAACTATTCTCACTATCTTAAAGGTTACCCTTTTGGAGAGCTTTGAAATTTCTTGA